TCCCATAAGCAACCTATTCACCCGGGCCTTGAAGACACCCAGGTTATACCTATTACGTACTTTAGAGGTTAAGCTTTCTAATCGAAGGACTAAGGTACAGTGGCCAGCGGATCAACCTTCTCCAGTCTGTCTTTATTCATTACATTTTCGACTTTATGACAATACAATAAAGTTGAAGATGTAATAGAGAAATTTGACAGAAAAGGATAGGTTCACCTGCTAAATCCCACATGAAAAGGAGATAATTCTGTTTGCCTAAATAAATAAATGTAATACCTACTTAATCTTAAAATTAGCTCAGTACCGGATACTTCTAAATTATAACACTTTAAATAACTTGTAATAAAGCCGCTATATTTAAAGAACATTATCGTATTAAAATCCACTAAAACTCATCTACATTTACAATACTATTAAAAACGAGTCCAACATTTATACGAGATATAAATAAAAACACAATTTAAATTATGTATGTATGAATAAACAATAAACATTTAACTTACAATTCTGTTTGTTCACACCAAACTATTAAATAGTTACGAGATCAAGATAAACACACAATAAGTTTTCAAACACTATTATAATGACTAATAGTAACCTAGACTACGGCGAATCAAATAGAAAGATGATATATTTTCTTTATACACATTCACTACGTCGGTCGAGTGGTTACTGCGACTACCTCACGAGGAATCAAGATTCATTTTAATTTCCAAAAACTTATCAGTAGTTACGGAAACTGCTATCACCTACTCGACTTAAATATAACATGGCTGTTGAAAAGTGGATGTTACATTTGGAGCCTGTTTCGTTGACGTTATTATGACGTACTTTCAATAAGAGATACGTGCATGCACAGCCACTTTTATCATATCAGACGCTGGCTAATTTCGTGAGTTTCACCCACTGCTCGGCGGTTTTAGATCTTGACATGATGTCTTATAGCTTATAACCTACCTCGAGAAATGGACTATTCAAAAAGAGTAGAATTATTTTGTTAAATTCTAACTAATAATTATGGCGTTTGGACAAACAAACGCTTCAGCATGTATTTAAGGAGGATGTATATCAGCATGTAATTTTATAATCATCATCATCATCATCGTCAACAGCCAAAAGATGTCCACTGCTGGATAAAGGCCTCCCTATTAGTCGTCCACGTCATCGAACGACAACTAACCACCTGCATCCACTGGCTCCCCGCAACTCTGGCGATGGCGTCGGTCCACCTAGCGGGAGGCCTGCATACGCTTGCTCTACCAATCCATGGTCTCCACTCAAGGACTATACTGGCCCATCAGCCGTCAGTCCTTCGAGTGACGTGGCCTACCCATTTTCACTTCAGTATGCAGAGTTTGCGAGCTATGTCGTAACTCTAATTCTTTGGCGAATTTCCATATTTCGGATTTTGTCGCGCAAAAAAACCCCTAACATGGTTCTGTCCATCGCGCGCTGAGCGACTTTGAGCTTGTCCAGAAGGCCAGTATTGTATTAGTTATAATATCAGACCTTAAATTTAATGATAGCTCTAAATGTTCTCTGCTTAACCCTTCGAAAAATAAAAGATATCTTAACATGGTATTTGTATGTATATGTGTATGGTTTCGTTTACTCGTCCGGACTGGAGACGTGTCATTGAAAGTGCAGTCCGTTCAGAACCAGTTTTGTGCACAAAACAACTGGTTGGTAACATAACGGGAGCACTGTGTATAAGAACTAAGTACCTACATACTAACTGAAAGGAACCCAGTACAGACAGACTTTCGACTTTATAATAAAAACGAGTAAAGTTCGAAATCCAATGTGGATATTTCAGAAATTGTGGTAGGTTGACTCGTTGGTGTACCAAGAACTTGTCTTTGGACGTGACTTCGTCTGTTGCTATCATATAGTTTGGAGAATTGAAGGTTGTGAGCAAATTAAGCGTTGCTTTTTTTTGATCGTATAATTTAAGAAAGGATCTTGGAAATCAGTGAATTATATCGTTGAATGCAGGGTGGTTATTCACATGGATTTCTCCTTACTGTGTTTCTTATTTTTAGTATCTTAAAGTATGAATATTTATATACCTCTATGAAATCAAATCATCCAAGTAGAATTATGTTCTTTTTACCGTCTACCTTAACTATAGAAATCGTAGAAATAAATTATAATGTGATCACCAGTAACATCAGATCATTCACCCGAAGGTTTACTGTAGGTTAGTTCATATTTGAAATTGCGTAGCTACAGGCAATTAGACTACACACACACACACACACATACATCTGCGAGTATACATGGAGGAAAATTAGATAAAGCCCAAAATACAGCGATAATTTCTCAAAATAATCTGATTTCATGAAGAGGCTGTCTCAATGAGCTTATTATCAATAAGTTAATAAGAGCCTTATTACTGAATATAAACAGCTCATTACGCTGTACTCAGACGTGGCTCAATAATTATCCAATTAATTTCATTTTAGATACTTATTTCTTCAGTGTAATGTCGCTCCCTAACTAAATACCAGCCCCTTGAAGGCTCACAACGATTTTCATTAGTGTAATTCAAATTTTAAAATTCATTTTGATTGTTTATTCAAAATGTATATACGTCATTGATCAATTATGTCCCTATAAGTAATATTTTAGTTATATTATCCAAGTCTACCAAACTAATCAAACATTTGTATTAGACTTCAATTAAATACAAAATACTATATTATGAAGAAGATACGACCATTTCAAGTCTTATAAACCAGAAGCTGTGTATTTTTCCCACCGCACTGAAAATCTTAGATCAGTTGTCGTGGTGGCCCGGAGGCTTAAGAAGCCCGCTTCTCATCGATGAGAGTTCGGGTTCGAAACCTACCATCGGCAAGTACCAATGTGAATTCTAAGATTGTCTAGACACTACTGGCAAACGATGATGGAAAACCTTGTTAGGAAACCTTGGCTTATAACTTCTAATTATAAGTTTGAAATCGCCAACCCGCATTGAGTAAGCGTGCTGATTAATGCTCAAACCTTCTCGGTGTGTAAAGAGGCCTTCGGTCTGCAGTGGCCACTTATAGGCTGTTGATAATGATGAAAAAATCTATCCATAGTTAGAAACTAAAGTGTAGATTAATTAAAAGCAAACATTACTATTTACATACATCATAAGAAATTATCAGTATAGAAAGACGCACCCAAACTTTTTATTTTTTTATTTTGTGCCAATAGTGTAGGAGAGCCCTGCTCCGGTATTGCTGGGCCAGCTCGACCGGAGTGATACCACTACTGATAGCCCACTGAAAATCAGTGCTGGGTACCTTGTATGCCTGGCTTATACTGAGTGGGTGACCCTTTTAGCATAGGCCTGTTGTCACCGTCTCTATTCTAATTCTTCTGTTTTAATTTTTCAACTCTCATGTTTTTATTAATTCCACTGTCACACCTTTATTGTCTTTTTTTATATTTTATTTATGCTGCATCGTGCCTGATGCTGAATAAATGTTTTTCTTTCTTTCTTTAGAGAAAACCGACGTTAAACAATGCTTACGTTGTATTTCGAAAATAGAATCTCATCTCCATAGCTTACCCTCAGAAATAAAAAATAATATTACGCAAAAGAACATAAAATGTAAACTACATATTTGTAAAACCTCATTTTATAAAAATTCAATTTTGAGATTGATTCATGATAGCACAAGTTTAAACTTAGTGGATTTTGGTTGCTATTTTAAATGGATAATCCTGTTCTTATTGTAAAAATACGATAAATAAAAAAAAAAGAATTCAACCTAACCTCTTTACAACTGCAGTAGTCGAAACTAGTTGTTTCAGTAAACAATTACAATCAACATTACAATGCATTGTAAGACACGCACAGTTCGATGCTTCTAGTTGGAATCGTACCTGGTGTTTATGCAATAATGTCTGGTCATGCCACTTGGCTAGTATGTGACGTAAATGAAGCTATTACAGATATTAATTGCTATTTACATGTGCCCTTAGTGGACTTAAGGATCTTTGTAATTTACGATACGATCTCTAAATAGGTTTTGGAGTTGCACTGTGACCTTGAACCTGTTTGAAATAGAGAAACCTATGGAGTTTCTTGCTCCGTCTTACATAACATAACATCACGCCTTTTATCCTCGAAGGGGTAGGCAGAGGTCCACATTATACCACTGTACAATGTAACACCCACTTTTCACTATTTATGTTATGAGTCCCGTGTAATAGGGGTGAGCCAATTGCCATATACCGGGCACAGTTCCAGACTCCGTGTTACTGAGATTTTTTTTAAAAAAAACCCAGTAATACTTTGCCCGACCCGGGAATCGAACCCGAGACCCCTTACCCGGCAGTCGCAATTGCGACCACTCGGCCAGCGACGTAGTTTCTTGCTCCTTCTTCTCCATAGGAATCTACATCTTGGAATGAGCAAATAGCTTGCTTCACTTTTAATTTCTTGTCGAGGTTTAATAATGCCTTCCTGATCTAATTGAAATAAATTATTTAAACATTGCTTTTTGACTTTTACGAGATCTCTTGCACATTGCAGCTATACAAGTAACTTGTAAACCAACAAAAATGCAGTATTTGACCTATAATTGAAATACTATTCATTCACAATTTCATGTTAATTTTTGAACATATTAATTAGTCATCGTTGATGTTGTGGTCGATGGTGGGGCAAGGCCTAAATAGTAAAATTCCTTATTTTAAGTATTACCATTAAAAGTTGATTGCTGTTGCCTCTTTTTTATTACAACAATCTTTTTCTCTTTGCTTACAGGTCTACATTGAACCTGGAACATCTCGAGCGATGTCATGACGCCATTTACACAAGTCACACGACGAAACCAGTAGCAGATATCTGAATAATATGTAGTGTGCAGTCATCATTGGTTGGGAAAAGAGGTCTTAGAATCTAAAATGGTATATTGAAACTATAAAGCAATTACCAACTTTATTGTTGATGGTTTAAAAGTCATTATCCCTTAAATCAAAGCTGAAGATAAGTATAAAAGATGAAGAACTACATGAAGTCGATGTCGAGTTTGAAGCTGTTGGTGCTGATCTCGTTGTGGGTGGCGCCGCTGGTACCGCAGCCGACGGCGCCGGTGCAGCTGAGCGGTGGCGTGGCTCGGGGGACGGTGGCTCCTGACGGCACCTACCTACAGTACTTTGGAATACCGTACGCTACTGTGACACACAGGTTTCAAGTGAGTATCTCATTAATCAATTTAATTTAAAATTATTTAGTTTTCAATTCTGAGTAAATTAAAGGTGGTGGTCGCCACCGCACCTTCCTCTACCCTTTGGATAAATATTATATGTGAATTTTATGGCACATTGGCAACAGTTTAATATTAATTACATATCGTCGTCCACTCTACCATGAGTTGGCAGTGCCAGTATCGAGAAGCAATTACAGCAGAATAGTTTCCGTGAAGGCCTGCTAATACCGCGCGTTAATGATGAGCGTCGCACGTAACACCACTAATCTACTTGTGATTGCCACTCGCCGTCTAATCACACCTACACGTCAGCTCCTCACTAATTGTCGGAATACATTTTTAATGAAGTCTCGCTCTAGTCTCACTATTTTACGTTGAATTCATGATGAGAGCAGTTCTCGAAACATTACGTTTATATAAGTTACTGATTTACTTTCTTTTCAATTCCAGGAAGCACAGCCGAATCCGAAATGGGAGGGTGAGTTCAACGCACACAACGAGCACATTAGGTGCAATCAACGGTTCTTCAACCGCATCATGGGTGTTGAGGACTGCCTCACTGTGAACGTGTACACTCCAATGGAGACCAGCGGCCAGGGACTACCGGTCATGGTGTTCATACACGGTGGAGGGTTCAGAGATGGATCGGGCTCACCCTTTATCTACGGCCCAAAATTCTTAGTAAAACATGGAATTATCTTAGTAACAGTAAACTACAGAGTAGAAGTACTTGGGTTCCTATGCCTTGGTATTGAAGAGGCTCCCGGTAATGTGGGGTTGAAAGACCAAGTGCAAGCGCTGCAGTGGGTGAAGCGAAACATTCGAGCGTTTGGCGGAGACCCTGACAATGTCACTATATTTGGTGAAAGTGCAGGAGCTGCTTCCGTCTCATACCACTTAGTGTCTCCGATGTCTAAAGGCTTGTTTAACAAAGCTATCATGCAAAGTGGGTCCAGTTTAGCACCTTGGGCCTTGCAATTTGAGCCTCTAGAGACTGCAAGTCGGCTGGCTCAAGAAATGGGCCACACGACACGAGACCCTCTCGAGATTCACAAATTATTCTCAAATATGACAGCTGAGGATCTGTTGTCACACCGTGTTCCACGACAAGAGGGTGACATCGTACAGTCACAGAACATCTTCGTGCCGTGCATCGAAAAGAAAATACACAGAGTCAAACGGTTCCTGCCAGACAGTCCTTACAACCTGATCAAACGAGGGAAATACAACAAGGTGCCCGTCATTATTGGCTTCAACAACGCTGAGGGTCTATATTTTGCTGGCAAAGAAAACGAAACTACTTTAGCTAACTTAGATCTATTTAAAGCATTACCACGAGATTTAAAGTTTCCTTCTGATAAAGAGAAAATGGAAACAGCAGAGAAGGTGCGTGAGCTGTACATGGGAGACGAGAAGTTTACAAAAGAAATTTCTTCTTTAGAAAAGTTGGCTCGGTACGAGGGCGACGTGGGTATCACATACCCGGTAGTAGCTACTATAGACCTGCTCCTGCGGACACTGGACAAAGCAGTTTATGCGTACAAGTTCAGCTACGATGGATTACTAAACTTCTCCAAGTTCGCGTTTGGGTTCCGCAAAACGCCAGGCGCTACTCATGCTGATGAAATATTCTATCTATTCAGCTCTTTAACGCTGAATGGGCATCTGGAAAAGAACTTTATTGAGAAATTCACAACGTTGTGGACCAACTTTGCCAAATATGGGTAAGTCGATCTGCTTACATTTTTTTAACGTTATCCACATACTACAAATTCCTACAAAGACGTGTAATGGCCTTCCAACGTTCCAATAAAAGGGGCGAAAGCAAGTTATAACAAATCTGTTACTATGACTTTATGAAGTCACACTTTATGATTCACCGATTTTACCACGAAGTTGGCTACCCCACACGCCTCACTTGACAAACGACATGTGTCATATCAATTTCATCACCAATATTATTTAGCTAAACAATAAAGAGATTCCTAAGGTCTGCCTGCCTGCTGAACATACCCACTTAATTCTTGACCTTGCCCCCACTGCTTGCAAATACACTCCGTCTCTATTTGATGCTTAGAATGCGTGACCCTCGGCTCAGTGTCAAACTAAAACTGTATAAGCATTATACAGTTTAAAAAGTTGAAATGAAAATTTTAGAATTTGTTCGATAATCTCCGGATAGTTCTAGATCTTTGACAGAAGTTAAATCAAACAAATGTAAATAATCGATCTCACTGAAAAATATTTCCAATTTGACATTTTAACAGTGCCTGTAGAAGAAGATAATTTAGTTGAATATATTTTGTATTTAGACTGCCTCATTGGCCGAGTGGTCGCAAGGGCGGTCTCGGGTTCGATTCCCGGGTCGAGCAAAGTATTATTGGTAAAATTCTCAGTAACAGCACGGAGTCTGGAATTGTGCCCGCTATATGGCAATAGGTTCACCCCCTATGACATGGGACTCATAACATAAATAGTGAAAAGTGGGTGTTACATTGTACAATGGCATAATGTGCACCTCTGCCTACCCCTTAGGGGACAAAAGGCGTGATGTTATGTTATTATGTTATGTATTTTGTATTTAAATAAGAAAATGAATAGAAACAAAACATGTACAATACCTCTAGACGTAATCCACACAAATTGTTTTAATACAAAGGAACACGAAGATGAAATGCATTCACGTGCAGAGAGCATTTGTTATGTATTAAAGTATTCACAAATAGTTCAGACGAGATGAACAAAATGTATGAATTACCGCGCAGCTGACTGCTGTGTTTCGCAACAACTTGCTCGCTACTTGCGTTTGATGAAAGAATATTTTATATGATTGGCAGTTGACCGAGACCCACATAACTCCGAGTTCGAATCTAATTTAGTATACATTTCCATTTTTTAATTTAGTTACGATAATTTCCTTTACTCATTATACTTTTATTTGCTTTCAAAAGTTAAAGAAAATTCAAGGTCTGTTTATCTTTTTGGGTTATCTATTCTATCAATTAATTTACGGCTTAAAATAAATCTATTTCTTATCAAACTGGAATGGCTAGTTTCGCGGTTTAATTCATTCTAAAGAGGTTCGATTACCGGGTATAAAATATAACTGGTACAAGTACCTAGATGTCACATTGATTATTGTGCCCTAATCTCTTTTAGCGTACTTCAATAACATCTTATTTATTTTGACAGTGATCCAACTCCGTCATCATCACTAATCTTGCCGCGATGGGAGCCAGCAGAGGCGCAGAGTCCCCAAGTGTATGTGATAGACAAGGAGAGCTCCGTAGCACCAGTGTGGGATGACCAGGGCCTGCTGTTCTGGAACCAAACATACTCCATGTACAGGAGAACTCAATAACTAGGAATAATTTAGAACAAATTCACATCAAGCTATACTACACACTTTTAATAGATTATCAACTTTAGACTACTGCAATAACGTAGGTATTTAATCGATAGATATGTGTAGCTTGATGTGCTAGCAGTATAGTAGTTTAAATTAAGTTAATACAATAGACTGAGATTAAACCGATATAGTGATTAGTCTTGGTGACAGACATCATGTCATCCAGAGAGGATAAGCAGCAGTGAACCTGCAGTACTCGTGCCTAGGCCCAGTTAATAATTCTATAAGAAATGAACCTAATGTTAAACATTGGATTTTACAATGAACTAATCCCTTTCTGCATTGATTGTTAGCGAATATTCTTTCGGATTTTTCAAAAATCAAGTCTCAATGAGAAAAAGACATTCGGAATGGGAAACACATATTATAATTACATAGGAAATGTTTCCAGTTGTATCATTGTGTACTACATTTTTTTTAAAGGAGAAATATCATCTAATAACTGCTCCGCTCTGCTATCATCTACTTACTGACTAAAAACCACCCCGTTCCTTCTCCTGCACTTCGAGCCGGAGCCCCGGTTACCCGTTAGGTTCTCTGCGACATTATGTACTGTATTACAAAGTTAATTTAGTTAAATTGTACTTGCCATATCCGTACATCTTGCAATATCCGTCGAATTCGTATAAGAACTAAGAAAAAGGTGTTTGATGAAACAAATAAATATGAGTTGTATAAGCCATTGTTTGTAGCTTATAATCATGTTAATACATATTTCGTACAATTTATATTGTGTTGAGCACCGGTCATTAGTTGTTTGTTATAGAAAATGTTTGTGTTCGACTGCACAGTCGGCACGGTGGCTGGGCTACCGCGCAACGTGTCGCGGGTTCGATTCCCACACGGCACAACCCTTTGTGTGATCCACAGATCGTTGTTCCGGGTCTGGGTGTGATGTGTATGTAAACTTGTGTATTTGTAAACGTACCTACGACACAGGAGAATATTCTAGTGCGGGGCAACGTTTTTAATAAAAAAAACATTATACTTACTTAAGTAGGTACTTTTTTGAGACTTGTATTGTTATCTAATATTGACATGAGCCAGTTGTATGACAGTCATGTATTACTATTTGCTAGTTATTTTGTTTGCCACCAGCGTACTTATGTTGTAAATAAAATATTTTTTTACGTTTTTAAATAGTTATTTTATTGCGTATTCCTTAGAAAATCTTAGGTCTACTAGAATTTTCGTCTACTTTTGTGGAATATAGCATTAACATAATTATCTAATATTAAAGTAAGTGCGTCGCCTACTTATCGAAGAAACCGTATCTCGTCTGTAGCGACTTCACATGGTCACAGTGTCAAGCAATGAAGCAATGTAACACTGACATCACGTCGAACATGTCAACATGTCAACATTATCATGTTCCTAAAATTCACAATTTGATCAAAAACACTACGCAAGTCATGTAGTGGGTACATTGTAAACATTCCATGGTCAGTGAACGACCACTGACGACATAGTGATCGCATTATGGCATTAAAGTCAACATTTGTTGATGGTAGCAAAAAACGTGAAACTATTTACTTGAGAGCAGAACATTACAACAACGAGTGAACTTGATGCGTTTGTAATTGTGGAGCGAGGTGTTAGTGCACGGCGTGCGTCCGGGAACATGTTGAAATATGATTTAAGAATTCACATAAAAATAAATAACGCAGATTTTAACCTACATTGGGATTCTTAGTATTGCTTATTTATGAATTTCATTTGCTAAAAATAGAATATCATGTTTTACTCAAAACGAGTATTCGAATCAAATTCGTCGTGATCACCTCGACACCGGCGCGTGCGGCAATAAGTATCAATGTCGCGTAAACACTCCACCGCCAAGCACACGTGGCGTTACGCAACCATTGATAAGTCGGTCCCTACCACCGGTTCTATCGTCTATTGTCAAACAACCTTCGTTGTGAAAGGCTCGTCTCGGCCCCGTATCACGTCCCGATGGCCAAAGTCGCGAGACTCGCGCGCAAGTGATATCGTGCGGGCCGCGCCCGCGCATCCGACGAACTAAAGCCATTGGAATACGATGCGCGAAAAAATAAATCGAAGAACTAGTGATGTTCCTAAACATATCGTGCTGAAGTGAACAGGTGTGTGCTCTGTTTGCAAATATTTGTAATGCTATAGTGATTATATGTTACGATTTGCCGAGTATTGTGTGCTGTGGCGCAACCCACATACTGCGCTATTGTGACCGCGGCCACTGCACCTGTCCGCTGGATACTTGTTGCACACATGGACCTACTGGGCGCATAAGTACCTAAATAATTAATTAGATTTCTGAACTTTGAAGTCACTATATAGGTGCTTGACTACTTATCCAACACTTTCATCGCACGATAGCGTGTTACTAGACCGCACTTTATGATTTTTACCTAACATCTATTTATCTAGTAATAACAATAAGTATAATGTCGAATGTAATCAACCATTGAAGGTTTACTTAAATAATGAAAGGACTCCTGTAGCAAAAAGTTTCCAAAACAGTTCACCATTTCACTGTACATACATATTAATATTCCGCCCATACATATTGATATTTATAATCGAGTTTTTGTGAAACACTTTCTACTGCAACTGTTTGACCTTCGACCGCAGCACAGGTAACTGAGGAAGGATCAACAAAAAGTGAATCGAGTAGATCCTACTGTTTGTGTCTACAAGTAAACGGTGATCATAATGCGAGCAAGGTTTTTTATAAATTGACAGGAAATGCGTCCGCGATGCCGATCATAAGCCGGTGGCTCAACATCCCGCTCCACATGTACATTTTTACAATTACATATTTATTACGTTTGTACTGTGAGGAGTCGAGGACCTTGTGCCATGTTAATATTGGAACAGTATAACAGATAACATCCTGTACTAATACATACAGCCGAATTAATAACCTCGTCCTTTTTGGGGAAGTCGGTTAAAAATAAAAACATCTCAAAAACACACAAGTGTAGGAGATCTATGCTTCGGCACGAATGGGCCGGCTCGACCGGAGTGATACCACGGCCGAACAGAAAACCGACGTGAAGCGACGCTCGCGTTGTGTTTCGCCAATTCCTGAATCCCCAACGATCCTCAAACTCCTATTCCCCATAAGGCCGGTAACGCACTAGTAACGCCTCTGGTGTTCCGGGTGTCCATGGGTGACGCCGATTGCTTACCATCAAGTGATCCGTCTGCTCGTTTACCGGCTTATGCCATAAAAAAAATCTCAATTTTCGTGCTCAGACTTAGCTGCCATACTCAGAAAGATTTAATGATTACTTAAACTATTCCTTAGTAACGATTTGTACTGAAAGCAATACCTAGTGCGAACAGCTAAGGAATGGAACTCGTTGCCGGAACAGGCTCATCGTCGGCCACATCATCGCTTACGATGATGTGGCCGACTGGTGCGAGATGATGGCCGTCAACGTCAGTCTTATTATATGACTATGAGTACGCCAGTAACTAATTTGTTTATTTAGACTTCAATGCACATATACAATGAAATGGCGAACTTGGAACAAAGAACTAGTTTTCACTACAGACACGCGATTAATCTAAGAACAAGCTAAAATACCTACATAGAGGTACATAATGATTACATAGAAATTATTGATTGGAGACTACATAATGATACAGCTAGTATATGCCTCGAGCAGCTGACGTGACTGTTTACAACATTCCCTGAGAGAAATCTTAGAGCTATTCCAAGTAATTCTATCTGTCGCACGTTTTATAATCCTTAGTTCAACTAGCTTCTGCCAACGGCTTTGGCGGCTTCGTCGTGGGATAAAAAGTAGCCTATGTGTTATTTCAAACCATATCCAACCATCTATCCCTGAGTGAAGGAGTAACAAAAAAGCGTATTCTTTTTTAAAAGGCCGGCAACGCACCTGTGACTCCTCTGGTGTTGCGGGTGTCCATGGGTGGCGCTGATCGCTTACCATCAGGTGATCCGTCAGCCCGTTTAGCGGCTTATGCCGTAAAAAAATAGGAAGACCTCTAACACGTAGTAAACAATAAACATTATAAACATTTTCTAACATGTTTACAGTATTTTTAACACCAGAACTAAATTTGCAAATCTCTATTTGACTCATAGATATATAACATATCATATCAGTGATTTGACTGGAAAACAAAAGTAAATTATACAAGAGTCTGATAAAAAAATGACTTGCTCTGTCTGTCTATGGATCACCTGATGGTAAACAACACCATTGGAGTTACAAATGCGTAGCCGATTTTCTGTAAAGTGAGCTTAACATTACAGGTTTAGGACTCCATGCGATTACAAGGTATTATATAATCTAGCGACACCTTACACCATATTAAACTATATAACAAAAAACACATACCTTGTATTAAACTAAATTAAATAAATAGCGTTATTTATTGTCTATCTATAACACAAACTACCTCTATATAACAGAATCTTTGTTAATTCCCTCGGCTGACAGATACAAATATCTATTTACTCGTTATGAATGCATGGTTATGCTTACAAATAAAATGATTAAATTAAATAATAGATAATACTTATGAAATTGCCTTTTAGTATGAAAAAAAAAATTAACTACAATTTGAAATTAGAATTCTTAGTCAAACAAAAATTATTTTGATTTGAAATGGTCAGTACCCAATGGCAATTTCATAGGTAAAGACCTAATGTCTCAACTTTATGAGAACTGTGTTCTGTAAACATGTCAATGGTACACCACGTACCAGGGCAGCAGATAACGCGAGTGGTCAGCGGGTCACTTGTCAAGTTGCCACATCTCATTGCTACGGAAACGGTCCTCATTGCGATACAAAGCGCACGGTTTACACAAGATACTTATTTTAATTTAGAGTAGGACATTTTGCAAGATATACCTACATGGATGTCATATCCTGAAGGGAAAACCATATTTAAGTACTCTTACTAAGATGTAACTCAGAGTTTTATAAAAACCTCA